TAGATAACAAAGTTTAAACTCTGTGATGCATGCGCTGCTAGAACATATTGATTGAATTTATACCAAGCGTAACAAGGCGTGTGTGTCATCGCGTCCAAAGTGGATTTGTGCGCCAGCCGCCCCACGCCCGCCTATTTGTGAGTGCATCCCGCTATAAAGATGTGATTAAGAGTAGGCAGTAATCAAAGAGGCAATCAGCCCTCTATCCAACTAGTAATCTACGCGTAACGAAGTTACCGCGGCGATATAGAGTCGCGCGCTTCCTTCCCGTCTCCTATCATCACCGCCGCCGCCGAGCTCCGTTCGCAATTATCAGGGACCTGTTATCCGAACACTAGTTTATTGTATTAAATTTCTCCGGCGCGATTTTATCCAATTACACTTTCGAGATGCACACTTCTCGGCACATCCATTACAGAATCGAACAATGAGTGAGTTTAGAGTTGGAGAATTGTGTTGTAAAGTTTGATTTGTTTTGTACCGTTAAAAAAATAAATAAATTTAATTTGTATTTTGCAATTTTTATTTATTTTCGATCATCCTGTGTGGAGTAGACTTGTTACTTCAGTCTGCCACTTTGCGCAGCAAGGATAATTCACTTAGCACTGCATCAAACTTATTGGCAATGCATTTTCACCTCATTTTCTTCTCCACACCATCCTTCACTTTAACTTAACTTTGTGTTGCAACTTTTCAATTTTCGTTTCTAATCTAAATTTTCAATTATTTATTATTTTATATTAAAAACTAGCTTTTGCCGGCGACTTCGTCCCGGTACTGATTAATAAAAATGTAATTCGTTTTTACTCTCTTGTTCTAGACATAGTATGCGTCAATTCTAGCAATAAGATTCGCCATTTTATTTTAAAGAAATTAATTATATAAAGAATTGTTAATAATGCACTTCAGCGCGCCATCTCGGATTCAACTATTTAACTATAACTATAATTGAATCTCAATGCCAACTTTTATCCTGTAGAAAGGGACTGTCTTTAGGGTTTTCCTGTCAATTATTCAAAATTTTCTCGCCGTAAAAACCATCATTGGACTTTAAGGAACATTTAAAAAAAAGAATTGGTCTAATTGACCTAACCGTTGTTGAGTTATGCGATTACCAACAGATTTTGCAATTCATTTTTATATTATAGATAAGTAAATGAACAACAACGTCATGCTTGCTAATTGTCCATTGTTAATATTTATCACATTCAAACTTTAAACTTCTACAAGGTACAAGTTACAACCTTATATCAACTTGGAAGAAAATAAAAGTAAGATGCGAGCGATGCGCGATTTAATTGCGTTTCGCCAGCGAACTTTATGAATAATTCACTTGCGACTGCACACGCTAATGTTTTGCGCGCTTCGGAAAGGTTGCGCAAAACTTGTAAACTTGTAGCCCGCTTGAAAGTTGCCGAAAGTTACACCCGAAACGAGCGCTGCTAATTCGAAACCGGAGCGAATATAATCGCCATGTGCGTTGAGGGTGATGCTGAAGAAAGTTATCAGCGCTAATCAATTTAAAACTGTCGATTTGTTCACGGCCGAATTAGAGCATTCACGGATTCAAGAACGCAACTAATTGCGCCCTCGTCGCCAAGCTAATTAAATCCGGAAGTGTTTCATTAGCTGCGCGTAACAAGTATCGAGACGCTAAAGTATTTCTAGCTTTGTTGAATTGTAGGTAGGTACAACAAAACATTCAGCGCAAACAATTTTTTTTTCAGCCTCAAACCAACAAAGCAAACACCGCTAATACGCCATAATCACACCCTCAGCGTTGCAAAACACAGCGCCGGTAGAAGATATGCAAATAGACGCTGAAAATTACCATTAATACACGCTGATTAAAGGATATTCTCATTACCTGTTATGCCGAGCGACGCACAAATATTAAACGTAAATATTTTCGCCTTTGTGAAACGCACCTTCCACGACGACGCGAATCAACCGCCCTCGCTCTTTCATTCGAATGCAAATTCGAAACGCAGAACGCGAAACGCCTAAACGTCGGCAAACACAAGCGCCAACGAAACGGAACGACATTAAAATGAAAGCATGCCAACCGCGCCACCCGCCAGCAGCCAGAGCAACAACACGCGCACTGGTGAAACGAAGCATTTCCGAAAAATAATTTCCTTCATTAACATTAACGTCGCTGCCAGCGCGCCGATAGGAAAACAAACCGGCCGCAACGCAAACTTGACTTTACTCAACGTCGGAATGTGCGAGCCGGCCCGTAAATGCTAATGGCGCGCGAAAAATTGGGTAGCGCACAAACCTAACCTCAAAAAAGCATAAATCTAAATGCCTGACGTTTGGAGCGCGTTTCCTTGTTGGACGAAAAACCCCGAGTTAATCATCATAACATTTTTAACACATCCGTAAACTTTAACATAAAAAAAATACAGCCGCCCGTATGTACTCACTGACCTTAGTAAATTTAATATTCACAGCAATATAATATACAGTCAGTAGTGGTAAATCTAACTTTTTGATTTTATTTATCTTGCTCACGGCAATAAAGTACACGGCTATTCCACCATTTCGTTTCGTTACGTTTCGTTTCATTTCGTTAACCTCACTTCTACTGCACGCAGCGCCGAGTACTGATATCGAATGCTGTGTAGTGTGTGTTCTGTGTGCAAAGGGGGCGGGCAGAGAGGCATTTTAAGATAAATAAAAACAAATGGCCTAGGACGAGCCGGGCTGAGATTTTCCGAGTCGGTGCCTTTTTCCATTCGATGGCCGCCGCCTCAATAAGAAAGGCAAATACAATTTGCCCGAGTGCCGCTTCCATGCGACTGCCAGCGATACAGACGACACGACGGCGAAGACTTAGGACTCGGGTGAAAATCATTTGATTTAGTAATATGACACCCCGATACATCGGAGAGAGGCTTCTGCGTAGGTATATATACATTGCGACGGCATTAAACGCGACGTTCGATTTTATTAGCCTTTCTTAAATTGTTTATCTCCACGGAGACACACACATGAAAATTGGAAACGAAAAGATTCCGAGCGTGCACGAGTTTTAGGGGAGCTAATATATCACACGTCGTGAAAATGTACAGCGAGTGGATAAACTCGATTTGCATTCGCGCCTCGGCGTCGTCTGATCGCATCATGATGGTGATAATCTACATCTATCTGGGATTTATGATGAGAGATGTAACACGTTGTGCTTCTAACCTAATATCCAAGACATAAACCGGGAACATTTCGTGCAAAAACAGCATATAGATATGTATAAAATCAGTCACTAAAAATCAAAAAATAGAACATTTTGCAAAGTTGAATGTTTGTTACACTTTCACGCCTAAACCAATGGACCAATTTTAATAATTTTTTATATTAAAATAGATTAGGGTATAGAAGAAAACATAGGCTACTTATAAAATCTGAAATAAAACTTTAAAGGAGTAAAAATCAGTTATATTCTCACATAAAAACAAAACCGATTTTTGTCAATGTAAATTTCTCAAGTGTAGATCGTTAGGAAAATGGAATGCATTGCAATTTTTTAACTTAAATTTTTGCATGTCACGTACAATCGTACACATTAGACGTCCGACACATAACCCCACATTTCAAGCTTGCGAGGTCCTCCCTCAAGTGTGTGAAATAATAGGAATGGCTGGGAACAGTGACAAAGGGAAGTAAAGCCGTACGTGTGCAGCCCGAAAGCTTTCTGGCGCATTAAAACCACCACATAAATCAGGGAATTTACATTGCCCCGACCCACACACTATAGGGTCGGCTATAACACTTTCCACAGCACATTCAAACAAATTCCGACTCATGCACTCATGACCTAACTTCAAAGTAGCCCAAAACCCATTTAAGCAAAACTCAATCTGATAAATTAAAACTAATAAATGTGTTTTACTTTTAATAGTTTTAGAATATGGTTAACACTTTTTGGTATGTGTACCCAACTATGTAATATTTGAATTGTGAAGCGGAATGTGGCAGTGGCATTTAGTTGAGTTAGGTCAGAAGAGTTGTGTCCTTGCAGGGCCTTCTTAACGCAAAGGATCAGGCACAGTTCGCCATCAAGGGGGTGCTTAACAAGACTCATGGCAATGAATAAAAAAAAACGTGCTGAATTTGTAACTTTCGTGCGTGGACCCTTCAAATGGAGGTGACGCTCGAGTTTAACTAGCGTCATTACTTTTGCAGCCTACACCCTCACTTCAACCACGCTTCAACATATGCCAATTTAAAATGTTCAAAGGACAAAAATCATCTTATACCTTAAAATGAACCTATTAGCAACACTTTCTACAAAGAATAACTTAAAATATAACAAGCATAAAAGGTCATCATCAAACAGTTAAATTGTGTTACCGTACCTAAAAGTTCGGCGACACAAAAAAAAGTAAAGAGAGAGAGAAACCCACTCGCATATATTTAGCAACTCATTTCCGCTTCATTCTCGGCTCGCTGCTTTGCACAGCGCAAGCACTTTGCTTTTAATTTTTTGTTTCTTGCTTCCTTTTGTGCCGGCGCCTTTGAAATTAAATGCAAACTAAAAAAAAATTAAAATGCAAAAGCAAAAGGCCACACACCCCTTTGGCGGCGCCGATGGAGACTTTAAAATGGAGTTCGTAATTGGAATAAATTTCATTTCCGCGCGTGGCGAAAATGAGGCTTTAATTTACTATGAGAAGTAGGCGTACAAGACGACGCTGCAAGTCGAAGGAATTTCGAAATTAAACGCCCTGCCGGCATTCGGGAAATTCAAGACACTCAAGGTGCTAGCCTAACGCAGCACCAGGATATGTAAATGCGCGTTCTTTTGCCCGGAAAGGAAATGTACCGACGACGATGTCGAATTATGCATTATGCATGAAATTTATAGGTTATTATTGGGGATGACGCATTGTCGTCATAATCAAATTAATTCCAAATGAGAGATCAATAGAGCACAATAATACCAGTCATGTGACTCAACAATACCAATGGTGGAATTGGAAATATAGTGAAGTGCTTACCTTTAACAGCGCTCAGCTTGTTTCCGACCATCTGCTTCGCCACGAATGCTGCCATCTTGTAGTAGTTTTATGTACTTCTAAACCTGAAACAAAAAATAACCTCTAAATTTTTTCCCACCAAAAATCGACTTTAACTTGATTTATTAGCATTAAACTGGTTCGAATTAAAGTCAGCACGTCGTTCGGAATGAGGACGAAGCGTCCGTTTGAAGGAATAATATCATGCTAGTCTTATCGCGTCGGATTTAGTGAAAATAGATGTATTTCCCTCACACCGACGAGGAGAATACGCGTGGCGCTTTACTATTTGTCGTGTTTATCGTGTTTGCTCGCCGAGGGAGGAAAGAAAGGCGGAATACGTGTTTATGCGTTTGTTGGTAAAACACAGCACTCGGATGTGTTGATGTGGATGCATGCAAGGCGCGTTTCAGTCGTGTGCGTGCAAATTCATCCAGTATCCGCAACGTCACATGGCGCCCGCCTGACAGGCGCCCATTACTTTCCAGCCCAATATGGCGCCAAATTGTTGTATATCTATTCCGTTTCTAGAGCGCGCTGGCAGCGCTCATGAGAGTGCGTGGGCGCGCAACGGGGGTTGGATATGAGTTTCTTCGCCGAGCATTCTCCGGCATCTAACGTTCTATTTTATTCAATTCTACAGTTTAATACTCGTCCAACGTCAGTTATTGCATGCTTTACTTTATTCTGCGTCGCCATATTGGTTCGTAGCAGAAATAAATTTCAACTTGGCTTTCTTTTTCTCGAACTCATTGTTAATGTCCCATTTCTGATTCTGAAATAAGTGCACAATTTCGATGTGGTGGTCGTGACGTCGTCATTCCGCGCAATTTAATATAGAAATTACTTTATTGGCCCGACGCGTCTCCTGCAAATGTCGTCGCTCGTTTGACAGCGCCATCTACAACGGCATAGTGGTCTGTGTTCCATCTCTCCGCACCATCCGCTCCTTCGCCCTTAATGCCTGCACAATTGGCCGCGTTCATTTCTTAATGCATGCTCATGCTCGTGCCCGCAAAGAGCCTTTTACTCTGCCTCTCGTTTTTCCCCTCGGCGTGCAAATGGGGAAATACTAGTGCTGCGGATGTGGAAGTGAAGAGTGTCTCAAGAATCATGAGCAACGAAGAGAAAAAAAATGCAAAATAAAAAACGCCAGCTCTGATTTCGATCCATAATCACAGCATATCTGGGAAGGTAGATAGTTGATATCAAACTTTGACATTTGTGAACTTAGTGTATTCTAAACTAATGCAACTGTCAAAACAATATTCAACAATTCGAAACAATAGATTTAGTAAACGTAGTAACATTCGCAAACGCAAATTTCCAACCACAAATAATAATTTTAAATAAAATCTTTAATCGATTGATGGAACTTTGAACCCTTCACGTTTCATTGTGCGGTCGTCGATGGTGCATTGTGAACTGTTAACTTAACTCGAGTTGGAGCTTATTTGTTATTTGTTCAGAATTAATCGTGATGCGGCGATGGTGAACGCGCCGGGCAACGCAGCACTGCCAATAATAGGTAGAATCGGTTGAAGTGGTCGAGTGCAACCAAAGCAGTGCGCGCAGAGAGAACAATCGTAAAATCCACACAATCCACGGAAATTATAACAAAATATTTACACAATTCACTCCGCACTTTGCACACAGCAGCCAGATTTACGTGAATATGCTGAATATACTAATTATTTTCAGTCGTATTCATTATATCAATTAAACAATTAAAATGTTTATTTGTTTATTAAGCATTTTTCGTCATACTGACGAAATTAAATAATTTGCATATGCTGGATTTAGGTGGCGCAAGTTTGTGAATAAATTGAAATTTTGCGCAAAATTAGAAATTATAATAATGAAATAATTCATAAACTCGAAAACTTGGAATGATAATAATCGAATGGGTGGAGTTGGCTTCCCCGCTTTAATAATCTATTTGGCTGGCAGCCAAAAGTTGCAACGCGGGTCACTAATGAGTTATAAATTTTCGGCGGGCGCAAAGCGCCATAATGAACAACAGACTCGATTTATAGGTTAGGTCAAGTAATTAAAACTAAAATTTTTAAATTTACGCAAATAATATTTAAAATGATATTAATATTAAATATGTTGGGAATGTGAAACTCTGCTCGCTTGAATTTCCCACGAGGTAATCGCGTGGCGAGAGATGTGATTCAGGTATGCTTCGCGCGCATATTTTTCCAAACGACGAAGACAGCGGCGACGTTTTCGCGCTCGGATTTTCCGCACGTTTTCCCAGAAAATACCGTGCTTCGTAAAATGCAAAGTATGTGGAAAGTGCAAAATTTGTCCCAACTATTACAACCCCCACACACACAGACACAATCGCAGAAAAATCAATAGTTGAATGTAGTCACTGATTTTGGATAAAATTTTAAAGAAATTGGATTTTATCGCGACGACAAATGAATTTTAATTATCTCGCTGGTAGAGGATTAATTTCCCACTATGTATACGTGTCCGCAAAAGCAGCTCTATTTCATACGGCGGGGTAGAAAGGAGCCGATGATGAATAGGCCCGCGGAGCCTTCTTATCGGCGGAAGGCTTATGTCTCTGCGCCGACTCCGGCAATAATATTTCATCATTCAATTCTTAATTAAGGAACACGAATCCATGAATCCGCTGCGTTCGTAAATTTTCATTATTTTATTTTTCCCGCGCGCGCATTGAGAAGAGCGTTTTACGTTTTGCGTGCGCCATTCCACCGGAAATAAATCGCCTTAAAGTGGCATTTTGTGAAATTTGTTTTCTTCACAATTCACGTTCATTTATTCATCTACAAAGAAGAAAAAAACACAAATTGAATCAAAAATATTTGCTATCCAGAGCACATTAACAATTTATTTGTGATGAGATGAGTTCAGAGTTGAGAGACTGAGTAACATTTTCAAAATTGCGAAAACCTGTTCAACTTCCTGTAAGTCTTGCAACTTGCAACTTACTCTGCATGGCATTAAATTGATTGCCAGTGCAGCTGACAGCGTGTAGCACATATATAGAAAACTGGCTTCATTCTCACAACTTTTCGTGTATAATGCATTCCACACTTTGAACTTTACGACTTGCACACAAAAATCGCTGAAGGTAAAATATGACACGCAAAGAATAAACAATTTTTACATCAAATCTCCATCTACATCAAATATGTCAACTATCCAAATTCTAATCATAATATTACTTAAATATTTTTATTCGAAAATAAAAACGTAAAAGTAGTTGAGATGCTGATTAAAAACCAGCACTATACGTTTCCCAATGTTTTAAATCAGACTGATGAATAGCCCGGAATGAAATATGTATTCCCACGTCACCGGAAGCTCGAGCGCTCGCAAAAGAATGGATAATTACAAGTGTTATTGATGCGGCGGCGGCGCTGAATGGGTCGAACCATTGATCAATCACACCGCAGCCACACGGTGCGCCTTGCTTTTAATGTAAAACGCAAGCGGGCGAGAGCCGGTGAGGAGTATGGGTGTTCATTAAAGATATTGCCGCGTTCCGGAAATTTCACGGCGTCGCGCACATACTCCCGCTGGATCTTTTATCCGGAGGGCGACCAACCGCAAACCGCCGAACAGCTCAAAGACGCGCAAGAAACACAATCGGAGTGCAGAGATGCTTTTCTATTATTGAACGATGATATATGGTATTGGAATCACACAATTGAGAAAATATGACAATTTTGATTTTGTTCGCAAAGAATTTTCGTTGGAAATTTGTGCGGGTTTTCAGTTTCGTACCTCTGGCACCGTTCAAAAACACAAAAATAACGCCAACAATAAAAGTAGGTAGTTTCACATATGTTTCGTAGCACACACGATGAAATGAGCCGGGTCTTGCTCTAGCGTGTTTACTCGGTGGCGAGAGGAGGCAATTTCGAATTTAATTGCGTTTGGGGTTTCTGCCCGGCGCGCAAAGTTTCCCTTTCTCATTAGCGTCGCAAATTAGTACCCACACGCGCTCATAATAAGGTGTTTCAAACAAAAGGCAAACATCGAACGCGCACAAAAGCGAATTTCTCTTTTCTCATCCAGTTACCAAACCTCATCCCCCCGGTGAAATAAAACTATAATCTACAAACGGTATTAACGACTAAAATACAAAAACTACAAAAATCATAAAATACAAGAAAGTTACTAATATTTACGATATTTACGCGGAACGTGGAATGAAAAGCAGATCATAAAACGACAATAAATATTTGTAGTCGTTTGCTGCAAACAGCGTGCGCTCATTATTTTCGAATTTACGAACACACTTTGCGCCGCCCCCGCCCGCGAAAATAATAAGCGATAGCATGAGAATGCAATCTGACGATTTAACGGGTAGTTACATTCGAGCAAAATCAATAACTCTCAAGTCAAACATCGTTACGTAACGATTGTGTTGGATAGAAAACATGTTTTCGTAGTTTTCAGAAGGCATCATCCCTCGCACTGCAGTCGATTATGTTAATTATTTAGTCTTACAAACAAGCCCCCATAGCCATAACACAACTTTTTATATTCTTACAACACGCAAGCTAAAAATATCTTCAAACATAAATAATGCAAACTGTTACCGATAAAATTAAATATAATTTGTGTGAGTGACGGTGCGGTATATTTTGCAAGTGAATAAATAATTCACCCCCTGTCGACATGTCATGGTCAACCCCGAAAGGTGTAATTAGGTACGCCCCTCGAAAGAGGAGAGTTGTGTAATGCACGTAACGTCATTTGCATGCTCGGCAAGTTCCTGGACATTTAGAATTTCGAAGCGAAATAGGGAATAAATGAATGTGTATGGAGGGAGGATGAAAAATAGCGGGCATGTCAACGTCACCGATCAAATTAGGGAACCATCAGCTTAATTGCTATCAATGCCACCAAACACACATGTCCACCTATCCTTTATAATCAAAATATTTTCATACAAATCCGAAAATATTTTTTTCTTTAAAAATTCAAAAAATGATTTCATATCAATAATTCCGGATAGAGTTGAGTGCTTAAATGATGAGCGTAGTCTGTGGAGCGTTCTTGTTGATGTTATAACTTT